TTCTATTATTTTAGTATTTTTTATGAGTTAATTTTAAAAAGGCAGTTTCCTAATTTTGATGTTTTACGCTTTCCAATTTTGGGAAAAAACCACCAAAAACCTCCAACTTTATCATTTGTGACACATTTACCCCGAACTTTTTTTTGGACCAAGAAAAACCCCCAAACTATGCAACTTGTGACACATTTACCTCAATATACTGTAACCTAGGGCATTTTAGTCTTTTTCCCCTTTTTTATTTTTTTCTGTTTTTTTTCTTTTTTCCGGCGGGGGCTGAGGTCGCCGGCGAGGTCTCCGGCGATCTCGCCGGCGAGGGCGAGGGACCCTCGCCCCGCCCAGCGAGGCGAGAGCCGCCTCGCCCCGCCCAGTGGAGGCGAAGGCCGCCTCGCCTAGGCGGGCGAAGGTCGCCCTCGCCTAGGCGGGCGAGGCGCCCTCGCCGGCGTTGGGCGAGGGCGGTCCTCGCCTCGCCGCGCCGGCCGAGGGACCTCGCCCGCCCAGCGAGGCGATGCCCCGCCGCCCGGGCGGAGCGGGCTGCCCGCCGGTGTCGGGCGAGGCATCCCTCGCCGCCGCCTGTGCGAGGGTTGCCCCGCCGGCGTCGGGCGAGGGTCCCTCGTCCTCGCTCGGGTGGGGCGAGGGCCGCCCGACGCCGCCGCCTCGCTGGGCGGGGCGAGGCAGCCTTCTCGCCTCGCCCGACGCCCGGCCGAGGCGAGGGCTACCCTCGCCCAACGCCGGCGAGGGCAGCCCTCGCTTGGGCAGGGCGAGGGTCCCTCGCCGGCGAGGGCAGCCCCTGCCCGAAAAAAGAAAAAAAAAGCAGAAAAAAAATAGAAAAAGGGAAAAAGACTAAAATACCCTAGGTTACAGTATATTGGGGTAAATGTGTCACAAGTTGCATAGTTTGGGGTTTTTCATGACACAAAAAAAAGTTCGAGGTAAATGTGTCACAAGTGATAAAGTTTGGGGTTTTTGGTGGTTTTTTCCCTCCAATTTTAGTAGGGTTATGTTATAGGTATATAAGCTTGTTTAAGGGTTTGTTTTGACATTCAGAACATTATTATCAATATTGAATTTCGAGATTACTCTCTTTAAGCAAGATTTTGCTTGAATTATTCATTGAACGATGCGTCAATGTCGGACAATGAAATGGTGGGCTGCACGGGTGTAAGATGAAATTGTGTCGGTCTGATCACAGCCTCTGCAACAGTGCTTTGGCTTCGATCTACCAATGTTTTACAAGCTTGTTAAAAGATTTTCACGTCAGCCAGGAGGAAAAAATTCAGGGGATGTCGATGGAAGTGCAATCTAAATTTGACAATTTAAATAAGTGCTTCATCGAAGCATCATTGCGATTTTGGCACGCAAACGCCGAGTACGTAATCGATGGATTCAGGAAGAGCTCTAACTTGAACGTGTCGTCATCATCATTTGCATTAGCCAAAGAGTAAGGGGTGGATTTGTGGTTTGAGGAAGTGATCAGAAAACTTAAAAAGAGTTGTTGACGATGGCCTAATACGGTCAGAACTCACACACAAAGCTTTCATGCATGGAGGGATCAATGGAGTAAATATTCACTTGAATATGTAGTATACAAGAATTAGTTTCTTCAGCAATAAAAACTTGGCTTCTATCTTCCTATATATAAGTCTAATTAGTAGATGACAATTACAACAGTTGGAAATGGGCATCTAGTTGTCTAGATAGCCGCTGAAGAAAGCATAAATTATGATGCTTGCCATTAATAAAATTGAATCAAAGCAAGATGTGAGCTTCAAGTATTGCATTAACATTCAAAGAAGATGCCAAAGTTGTCAGCAGTCTCGATGCACCTTATTCTGTTTGCATCTCAAACAGATATGAGTATAATCTATACAGAAGCAGAAATCACAGGTTAATAAGAGTACCTTGGTTCTTATCCTTCATAATTGGTATGAATTAGACCAAGACATCTCATCTTCATGCCTACAATAGTAGAGCAACGACTAATTTTGTTCCTATGGAAAAACCAGAATCTCCACCACAGTTACTAAATCAAACATCCCCAATTTGCAAAGGAGTTAGGTCATTCCGAGCTCGAATCCCACGAAATCAGCTCATGTTGGTATGTCTCCATAAGAAGCTTGCCGCTCCTCATGAATTCATGCAATCTTGACACTCCTTCATCGAAATCTGAGGTATGCAGCTTAGTCAAGGACTCAAACATGCCACATTTTGTCATAATCCAAATGTGATACGTTTCATAAGATCGACCTATCATGTTCCCACAATTAATTAGCAGTGTCAGCGAGCTGTTAAGTACTGCCAGATAAGCATGATCATACGCGAGTCCAATGATACTTTTCTTCAGTAGCCCAATTTCGTTGAAGACCTCATTCGTTAGGGGTTAGGGGTGAGCGGTTCAAGGTTCCTTACAGGTTCCACCTGAAACCTACCTTCGGGTACAGGTTTCTTATTTTTTGGAACCTAGAACCTACCCGTCCAAACCTGAAACCTGGAACCTATCCTGTCACAGGTTCCAAGGTCTAACAGATTTCTTCTTTTTTTTGCATTTTTAGTTAAACAAAACAAAAATGAACGCAACGATACTAAACAAGCTTGTCATTCATCAAAGAGAATACAAAAGACTAGTTTTCCTAGCATTATGGTTCAAATAAATATAACTAAATGAGAAGCTATTGCATAAATCGATACTAGGGGTGAGCAGTTCCATGTTCCATATAGGTTCCACCCATGATAATAGGTTCCTCATTTTTTGAAACTTGGAACCTACCCTATCACAAGTTTGAGAGTCGGTTCCAGAGTCTACTCAAGTTCCACCTGTATTATTAAATGAACAATTACTGTGAATCATCACCTTTAATAACCACAAATTACTACTATGATCCACTAATCACAACTTATATTTAGATACACGAAAAATATGAAATATTAACAAATCATAAAATGAAAGCTTAGACTAGTGGTTCCAAATCATACACTCATCATCTACTGCCATAAAACACCGCAGGATCACGAGAATACAGATTCAGGTTCCAGGTTCCACCTACCTAGAACATGGAACCTACCAGTCGAAACAGGTTCCCCAATTTTTTGAACCTAGAACCTACTATACATACCTTGGAACCTAGAACCTACAGATTCTCATTGGTCAGGTGCTCAGGTTCCAGGGTACAACTTGGAACCATGCTCACTCCTATCATCCGCTACCCCAAATGTGATGATCGATCCATAACACCAGCCACGGTCTTCATCGACACTGATCGATATTCGACGCAAGTTTCCATTGAAAGAGACACTTGAGCCGTCGCTCAACTTGCACCTAAAATTGAATTCAACCATCCTCAACAAATTTGTTCTAAGGCTAAATAGAATCATTTGGGTTTTGGAGGAAAAAATGAGTGTATCGTGATAATTACTTAGTCTCCGATGTTTCCTTAATTCATTGATGCAGCTATCTGCATAGATCAATAAATGAACTTACTAGGTATGCATTGCCAATGCTACCAAAAATTCTTGAGATAGGAAACAAAATATAGTAGTAGATCGCTGCCCTGGACCTCACGGTTGAAGACCATGTGAACTATAAGTGTGTGATCAATTGGGATAGTAAAATTGTCAACCTCAATACAGGGGGATTTTGACTTTTGTCTTGATTTGCTTTAAACATCCTCATCATTAACTGTTTAGATAATTATAGGCACACCACGTATCCCTTTGAAACTAGACAGCCTTCAAATTGATGTTCAAGTGAAAAATCGATCATTCCAAGAACGTGCTCCACCGAAGCAGCAGCTTGACCATGAAGCATATTTATTCTTGCCTTCCACATCATAACATAATCTATGTGCTAGCATTCCGAAGAAACTTCATCATTACATTCTGCTATTCTTTGCCATTGCCCAGTTCCAAGAGCCACGTGAACTCAGATTGCCAATCACGAGGATTCCTGTTGATAAAGCAGAGCTCCCAACACCTTGAACCAGACTTGAGAGGGCAACTGCAATATAAATTGACTTTCCTAGATGTCTTTCCATGGAAGAAGCAGAGATTTTATCTCTACAGACTACATGCTCAGATGGCTGAACTAATTGTTGACGTGTGCAATCATCATGTGTTTATCATAAGATGAAAGGAAAAATGACACAAACAGTTCCTGAACTTTGACTCAATGTGTAATTTGGTCCCCGAACTTTTAATTTGTTCAATATAGTCCCTGAAATTTAACTCAATGCGCAATGTGAGCCATGAACTTTTAATTTGTTCAATGTCATTCCTGAATTTTTTATGCATGTTCAATTTAATCCCTGAACTATATGAAAATGTTCAATGTAGTTCTTCCATTAATTCAAGTTCAGGGACTACATTGAACATTTTCATATTGTTCAGGGACTAAATTGAACATATACCCAAAGTTTATAGACCAAATTGAACAAATTAAAAGTTCAGAGACCACATTGAACATTAGGCTAAAGTTTATGAACTACATTGAACAAATTAAAAGTTTAGGAACCAAATTGCACATTAGGCCAAAGTTCAAGGACTGTTTGTGTCATTATCCCAAGATGGAATGAGACTTATGACCCACGAATCATTTGCGTTTTGGGTAAAAAAATGAGTGTATTGTGATAATTCAGTCTCTGATGTTTCCTTAATTCATTGATGCAGCTGTCTGCATAGATCAATAAATGAGCTTACTAGGTATGCATTGCCAAGCTACCAAAAATTCTTGAGATAGGAAATAAAATATAGTAGATGGCAGTTGCACTAGTTGCAATGTCCCGAGATTGAGATGCGTGATTCAAACTATGAATAGTTTGGTCTAATAGAAGCTGAAAAATGCTTATGGTGGCGTCAAATCAAACACATACACGCATGGCATTCAAAAAAGCTTCGTCATTTTTTCTGCATTGTCTAAAATCTGCTAGTATCGGCAATGCTGAAGTTGTAGATGCAATCTTGAGTTGCATACTTTCACTCATGAACATACTTCACTAGTCTAAAGAAAATATAAAGTGAAAATGAAAATGTATTCTAAAGCTTGCAAGAAGTATCAAAAGTAAATGGGCAGCACCTCACTTCCTCTGCTTATCATTTTGTGGCCAGAGCGTATATGAATAAAACATTTCTTCTCAATTCCGATGTAACTTTCAACTTTTCTACAAGCAGAATCAATCTTTCGTACCGGTAAATGTAGCAGCAATCGAGTCATATCTAAAGTGAAACGAGGCTCTCTACGACGGGTACCAAATCGCATGTCGTCCATAATGGAAGTTCTGTGAATTGTCCCGTGATTGGATTCCAAGAAACTCGTTCTCCACTATCTATCTCCACCATAAGTTCACCATTCCACGTGAAGCCATCAAATCCATATACCAATCCACTAGCCTCAAAAGTATACAGCTTAGTCCAAGACTCAGGCACGCCGTAGTCTCTCATAACCCAAACAGAACAATTGGAATGCAAATCAGGATGCCCAAGTGGCCCCCCACGACTAATGAACACAGCCAGCAAGTCATTCAATACCGCCACAGACACTACCGAAACGACACTGTCCATGTGAAGAATCTCTTCCGGCAGAGCCATTTCATCAAACACCTCACCCGCGACATCGAACAAGACTATCGATCCGAACCCGACGTCGCCCAACAGATCATCGAAGTCGAAAGCAAACCAGTGCAGCTTCCCATTCACGGAGACCGCGGGTCTGTAGGCGCAGAAAGCAGGAACCTCACACTCCAAACTTCTCCAGGAATCTGTACCGAGCGAATAAATCTCGACCGGAGACATCGCCCTCCCGAAGCTTCGACTCCGATTATCCATACAATAGACAATCCTCACAATCAAATAGTCATTCGACGGGGCGTCGAACCAAAACCCTAGAACCACATGAGCAGTGTCCCTGCAAATGAATTGGTGCTCCCGACCGGACCGCCGAACCGCCTTGTGCTTCCTCGTGAACAAATTCCCCAGATACGTCGTCTGGTCACAGACGTTTCTGGAGATTTCGGTGATGCAGATCAGACCGTTACACGAGCCGACGACACGGTAACTGTCGGGAGGGGGAGTGACGAACGGGATTTCGATTTGCAACGGGTCGGCAAAAGGAGAGTGCAGGCTGTGGACGGGATCCCGCCAGTCTATGCTCACGAGGTACCGATTGGAGGCGTCGAGGGCGGAGTGGCGCAGGTGGAGGGCCGCGAAACGAGGGTCGTCGATGGCGGCGCGCCACGGCCGGCATACGCACCTGCACCGGAGGAGGGATCCCACCGGCAGCCGCTTCAGGACCTCGACGGCGACGTCGTGAGGGAGCTTCGGGCCTTCGTCGGAGGCGGAGGAGGAGGAGCTCATGGTCGGATGGTTGAGAAGAAGAGCGAAGTAGGAAGCCGGAAGGAATTTACTGCAGTGCCGGTCCCCTTTACATCTCTGCTTTCCACGTGACAATCGCGTGATATGGCACGATTTGCTCACGTGACTCGACGCAAGAAGTTTTGTGACGTACGCTCTCTTGCTGATATAGCACATTATTTTTCTGCTAATACAACGAAAAACCTCAAACTGATAAATTTACTTCAAATTAATTTTTTGACCATAAAAAATTTTAAACCGGTACACCTGTGATAAATTTACCTTTCGTTTATTTTCGTTAAATTTTACTATCAAATTGCGAAGTAGGATGACATGCGATAGTCAACGGGTGTGCCAGTTTAGGGTTTTACCCCTCTGTTTGTCATAGACTTACCAATTTGTGATTTTTCGTGGAATTAATTCAATTTAACGGAGGGTAAAATTGTTACAAGTGTACCAATTTGAAATTTTTTGTGGTCGAAAAATTAATTTGAGGTAAATTTATCACAGATGTATCAATTTGAGATTTGTCGTGGTATTAAAAAATTTTTTCGTTAATATATATATGTGTGTGTGTGTGTATAAAAGCACCACAGAATAGCTAAGTTAGATGTTAGCCCCCAAGTGTCTTCGTCACAGCACCTGCAGTAGCTCGTGCATGAAAACTGATTTACATGAAAAAGATTATTAATTTATAAGATTTATACCACTGAAAACTCCAAGCTGATATAACTGTCACAAATTCACCAAAAACTAATTTTTTGACTACCAAATATCTCAAACCGGTACACTCGTGACAAATTTACCTTAAACTAATTTTTTGACCACTAAAAACCTGAACCGGTATACTTCTGACAAATTTACTTTCCGATAGTTTGCGTTAAATTGGATTAATACCACAAAAAACCCCAAACTGGTACACTTGTGACAAATGGAGGGTAAAATCACAAACGGGTCCACTTGGCAACTACCAGGTGTCATCCAACTCAAAAATTTGACATTAAAATTTAATGAAAACTAACTAAGGGTAAATTTGTCATGAATGTACCAGTTTGGGGTTTTTGGTGGTCAAAAAATTAGTTTGGGGTAAATTTGTCACAAGTGTACCAGTTTGAGGTTTTTCGTGGCATTAACTCCTAATTTTTTTACTACCAAAAACTCCCGAACTAATACACTTGTGAAAAATTTACCCTCCGTTAGTTTCCGTTAAATTTTACCGTCAAATTGCAAAGTTGGATGACACGTGGCAATTAACGAGTGTAAAAGTTGGGGGTTTTACCCTCCGTTTGTCACAGGTGTAACAGTTTGTGATTTTTCGTGATATTAATCTAATTTAACGAAGGGTAAATTTGTCACGGATGTACCAGTTTAGAGTTTTTGGAGGTCAAAAAATTAGTTTGGGATAAATTTATCACAATTATACTAGTTTGGGGTCTTTAGTGGTCAAAAAATTAGTTTGAGATAAATTTTTCACAAGTGTACCGATTTAGGATTTTTCGTGGTATTAACCGAAAAATTAGTTTGGGGTAAATTTTTTATATGTGTACTAGTTTGGGGTTTTTCGTGATATCAACCTAGTTTTTATAATGTCTCAAAACTTGAAACACATTAAACATCAATAGAAAATGATCCCTAAACACTAACTAGACAGCTCCCCTTAGCACCTCCGCCTCCTCCCTCAGCCTCTTTGCCGCCATCCTCCGGACCTCCATTTTCGGTGGCTCCTCCTCCAGATCAATGTGAATAGCTCACCATTGGCTCTACCGAAGTCATCATTCAGGTTGTCCAGCTCTTCATGGCAGTCCATATCGTGATGCGTCCATGGACGTCCATGTCTCCAGAGCTTCTTCCATGGTTGTCCTCAATCAAGCTTTGTTTCTTCCCTCCTCGTCCAGATCTCGACGAGATAGGGGGTCATGGAGCCTTGTCGTCTCCAGATCAGGAGGAGACACTCCTAATTTGGAGGCGTCTCATCGCTGGTGAAGATGTTCTCATTGATGACGGAGCTTGCGCTGTGTGCTCAACTCTAGAGCAAGTTGCTCCAAGCCCGTGTGACAAAGGGATGTGAAATGATGAAGAGGAAAAAAGGAAAAAAAAACGAAAACCTAAACCAATCCGAACCGTTATTTCAATTCGGCATGGTCAGGTCTCGGGACAGGTCATAAAAAATACATACACATGTGCAAGAGCATGATCTATTTTTTTTACTAACCAACATCATCAGGTAAAGACGCAAGAGTATGATCTACTTTTTACTAACTAGCATCATGAGGTAAAGATGCTCAAGTGAATGCCCCATAACCATAACATACAGAAGCCGGTTCGTGCATTGCCTGGACGTTCATTCGCAAACCGGTGGTTATCGAAAGCGATGGAAATGCTTCTAGTGTCATGAACCAAATATGTGGAGTATCAATTATGCACATTACCCGAAAAGTGCCCAATGGAATGCTTTGAATCCTTGATAGTGCATGAATCCGCATTCAGCGAATAAACTTCGACTTCCGGTTCGCCCAAGCACTTTCCATAAATATCACCAAAATATTAACAACCTCCTAGTCATAACGCCTTTCACTAAACCAGATACCGTAGGACCACATGAACATCCTCCATGTTGAGAAATTGACATAATTCTCAACAGGTTGCGAAGCATTTCAAGCACCTAATCACTGACTTGTAGAAGTGAAGCTCACCTAAGTTTTCTCATGCTGTTTGCTGAATGCATATCTCCATAATCCTTGTCGGGGGTGAGATAAAATTGTGTTGGTCTGATCACATCTTCTTCTATAGTTCATTGGTTTCGATCTTCGAATGTTTTCAAGCTTGTCAAAAGCCTTCCACGTTAGCCAGGAGGAATACTTATTATCTGAGGGTTGTAACTTTTACATTTTAAGCAAGCATTTCATCGTGGCATCTTTGTGGTATTGGGGCGCAAACACTTAGTATATAATCCATGGATACAGGAGGGATCTGATTTGAAACGTGTGGACATCAGCATCTGCATCAGCCAAGGAGTAAAGGGTGGATTTGTTATTTGAGGAAGTGATGAGAGAACTTAAAAAGAGTAGCTGAGGAGGGCTTGATATGGTCAGAACTATCACACACAAGGCTTTCATGCCTGCACGAATAATGGAGTAAATCTCCAGTATAATATTTAGTTTACAAGAATCAGTGTCTTCGGCAATAAAAACTCAGCTTTTCTCTTTCTAAGTATGAGTCTAATAACCAGTACATGACAGTTACTACAGTCAGGTCTGGATCATCTGGTTGTCTAGATAGCCACAAAAGAAACCATGAATTATGATGCGGAGTTTGACATTACGCATCTCTGCTTTTGATGTCTCGGATGACCAAAATGACACCTTTGTGCATTTTGAGGAGACCCATCGAGTGTTCCAATGTTGAAGAAGCAGAAGAAGACGACGATGATGCTCAAGAATGACAACAGAAGGTGATTCTATAGCTCTTCTGTGTGGGGAAGTTAATAAATTTTGGAATCAGGAAAATGCTTCATTTGTTTCCACAATGTGAAGGGAGGCATTAAGGTATACATCTAATAGATTTTGAGAGGTTGCTTGCTTCGACTTCAACAAGACCTCCATCTCCCGCTGATCGTAAACATTTAAAAAAAAAATAGAAGAAGATAGCCCAAAACCTGAACGGACCTGTGACAAACACATATTGTTCATTTTCGGGTCCTCTTTGGCAATGTATGTCTTCATAGCATTTCTAAATTCTCAAAATATGTAAAAATAACATAATTCAAGATGTGACTAGTGTAGTCTTGAAGTACATTATTTTTATATAAGATGTGACTAGTTTGGTCTTGAATTACATTATTTTTATATAAGATGTGACTAGTGTGGTCTTGTAGAAGCTGAAAAGTGCTTGTGGTGCCGTCAAATAAAAAACATACATGCACAACATTCAATAAAGCCTCATCATTCTTTTCGAGCATCATTTTCCGACCTGAACCGTTATCCAACCTGAACCGTTGACACCCCTACTACCAGCCTCTTTTTGCAATGTATGTCTTCATAGCATTTATGAATTCTCAAAATATGTAAAAATAACGTTATTCAAAATGTGACTAGTGTGGTCTTATAGAAGCTGAAAAATGCTTATGGTGGCATCAAATCAAGCACATATATGCACATTATTCAAAAAGCATTGTCATTCTTTTTCCGCATCATCTAAAATCTGCTAGTAGCGGCAATGCTGTAGTTGTAGTTGTAGATGCAGTCTTGGCTTGCATGCTTTGCCTAATCTTAGAGAAGTGAATGCGATTTGAATTCGATCATATCACAGAACTCCTTTCACCAACAAAACATCTCTCTCCCCCCTCACTTGTATCTATTTATTCCACTTTGCATTCGAAAATACATAGAATCGAGTGCCTTGGTTTCGTGTTTTCTTTGTCCCTCGCTCTCTAAATTGCAGAGCAAGGTCAAGCACCAAATAAACCTCTCTCTAAGACTCTGCAAAGTCCTCTCTCCATGCTTATGCATGCTTTGCTTGTCCATTTCCTCCTAGTCTCATCCTCCCTGTTAAACCACCGTTACTCTCTGCTCATAACCACGCTTACCTTTCACAGAAAATAAGCATAAGAGCCAAGACCCTGTTGATTTCTGATGGCAGTTGATACTAGCTCTGGCCATCTCAATCTCTTTGCTCTCCATCGCTTCTTAGGAAATGGACAGCTCATGAGTATGCAAATGCATATGCCATCTGGGGGTTCTCGGTGAAATCAGATTATATTTTGTTCCTAGTTTAGATCAGTTTTGATGTGGGCGACCAAAATGCAAGTTTTTCCGGGTGCAAATTGCAAGGAGAACAGGCTTTGCTTAGTCTAAAGAAAAACTCAAGTGAAAATGCATATGCATTCTAAAGCTTGCAAGAAGTACAAAAAGCAAATGGGCACCGCCCCACTTCAGATGTCTCTTTCAACTCTTCTGCAAGCATAATCAATCTGTCATACAGGTAAATGTAGCAGCAATCGAATCATCTCTAAAGTGAAACAAGGCT